ACAACCCCAGCCTACCCCCCTTGTAGTTTTACTGTATCCTAAATGCAGGTTTGAGGAAGAACTGAACCCATGACAGATCTCTTATCCCAGAGCTCAACTTTTCCTAGGTTATTAGCTCATTTATCCTTTAAGACATCAACATCAAATAGAATTTTTTAAGAGTTGATTTGACTTACAGACTCTTATGACTAAGACTGCTTCTGTTATAGGTCAGTCAGGAGATCCTAGAGCTATTAAATACTACAACAGCGAAGGAACAGTCCATTGTTGAAAAGTTTCGTTCACGAGGTCGGGCCCAAGTACAAGAATTTTGTGACTATGGGACCAAGGAAGAGTGCATGAAAGCCAGTGATGCTGATCGACCTTGTCGCAAGCTGCATTTCAGGTCTCTTGGGAGGGAATGAGGAGGGATGGATTTTCCACAAGGAGTCATTCCTTTTCAACATATTCCTTGTCTTTGGGTTTATCAGTAGTCTTATGGTTTCTGGTTTGTCTAAGTCCTCCAGACTCTTAAGGTATTACTTTCAGAAGTGGCATGATGTGGATATAGACTATATACTCCCAAATAGATGGGAAATTTTTTAAGTGCCCCCTTTTAGCAAGGCATCTCTTTGTCTCTTGACCCACAAAATTAGTTTCTGAAAGGAGGATGATCACAGGAGAAATGGGAACCTAGGGTCTTAAACCAGTGTTTTATTCTGCTCTATAACAAGCCAAGTCCTTTTTGGACTGTTTTCCTTCATAAAGTAGGAGAAGGAAGCTGAGTTCTTGTTCAGAGAGGGATTATAATTATTCTTTAGTGTGAATTATGGATTTCCATGTCATCTGCCTCTACTCTTTAAGTCTTGGAGGAATCTCTAAAACTAGAGWAAATTAGGGAAGTGTTTTTTTGTTTTTTTTTTTAAAGCAAGATTTGGTATAACTTGGAACTTTAACTGTGGTTCTACTTCTGGAGTACCATCTTGATTATTTCCCCTTTTTATTTCCCCAGGCGAATTATCAATAAACACACTGATGAATCTTTAGGTGATTGCTCTTTCCTTAACACATGTTTCCACATGGATACCTGTAAATATGTTCACTATGAAATTGATGCTTGCGTGGATCCTGAGGGTCCTGGCAGCAAGGACCATACACCAAGCCAGGAGTTTGCTCTTACACAGAGTGTTGGAGGTGACTCCAGTGCAGATCGACTCTTTCCACCTCAGGTATTTGCATGCTTAGAAAACTCATTTTGACTTAATGGACTTCTGTCTCAATAGTACAGTCATACATGTAGGAAAGAGGGCATAATTTAGCAACTTGTCTTGCTGGTTGGGAATGAAGTGGGATAGATATAAGGGAGTAGAAAATCAAATGGAAAAGGGATGGGACCATGAATTTAAGAGTGAAGGAAGGGAAGATGACCAAATGCCACCTCACGCAGTGGATCTGTTGTGATATCCGTTACCTGGACGTCAGTATCTTGGGCAAGTTTGCAGTTGTGATGGCTGACCCACCCTGGGATATTCACATGGAGCTGCCCTATGGGACCCTGACAGATGATGAGATGCGCAGGCTCAACATTCCAGTACTGCAGGATGATGGCTTTCTCTTCCTCTGGGTCACAGGCAGGTAATACAGCTCAAAGACATGTAGTTATGAGCAGATATAGTACGGTGAGTACTGGGTTTCCTAGCCCTGCTATTAAATATATGACTGACTTAGACCTTCTTAAGACTTATTTATTTATAACACAAATGATACTATGAATCATTTAACTCTGAATTTGCACCTTGAGAAAGGTAATGTCTTATGAGTACTTTTACTGTTTCATTCTTGGATCCACCTTGTTGCTCAGATGGTATCTGTAGCTTGCATGTAAACAGTTCACTGAAAATCTACTGGGGGAAAAAAAGGTTTTTTGTTTTTTTCAGAATAAGGATGCTTTACCATCGTGTTACATTCCCAGCCTTTTAATTTATTTTCCAAGACCGGATCTTGCTAAGTTGTGGTCCTTCTGCCTCAGCCTCCCAAGTTGGTGGGATCATAGGCATGCAGCACCATGCCCAGCAAAAAAATTTCTGATCTTAATAAGATATTTTGAAGGGAGAGAAAAATCAGGGCATACAAGTAATTAATCTTTATTTCTTTTTAGAGCCATGGAGTTGGGCAGAGAATGTCTTAACCTCTGGGGGTAAGTAGCAATTGTGTTGCTTTAAGGGAAATTAATACTTGTTATGTTGTGAGGTAATGTGTTCCCTGCTCCCCAGAATATAGCTGATTCCTTGCCTTTATAGATAATACTGTCCTTAAAACTATAAAAGTCTGGTTAAAACTTTAGTTGTCTTATGCCTCACAGTTATGAACGGGTAGATGAAATTATCTGGGTGAAGACAAATCAACTGCAGCGCATCATTCGGACTGGCCGTACAGGTCACTGGTTGAACCATGGGAAGGAGCACTGCTTGGTGAGCAGCAGTAGGGTCCTATTCAATAAGAGGAATTGATTTTCTCTATAGAGAAAAAGTTGAAAAATGTAATTTCATAAGGTAATCCTGTTCTCTGTGGTGAGCAGGTTGGTGTCAAAGGAAATCCTCAAGGCTTCAACCAGGGTCTGGATTGCGATGTGATCGTAGCTGAGGTATGTGCTTCCTGAGGCATCCACATCTTTCACATTTACATTATCATTCATGTCAGGTGTATTTTCATCCTAAATTTTTCTCATATGGATCATAAACATGACAGGGCTAGAACTACAATCTTGGGTAACTTAAAAAGTAGCTATTGATGTCTTTATTTTTATTTATTTTTTTAAAAATATTTATTTATTTATTAGTTATTGGCGGACACAACATCCTTGTTTGTATGTGGTGCTGGAGGATCGAACCCAGGCCGCACGCATACCAGGCGAGCGCGCTACCGCTTGAGCCACATCCCCAGCCCAATGTCTTTATTTTTTAGGTTCGTTCCACTAGTCATAAACCAGATGAAATTTATGGCATGATTGAGAGATTGTCCCCTGGCACTCGAAAGATTGAGTTATTTGGACGGCCACACAATGTGCAACCCAACTGGTAAGATGACTGGAGAACAAGCTAGCCCCCAAGGTGCATACTGTTTATAAAGAAGGACAGAAATCAACGTGAGCTTCACAKCCATTCTGGTAGTCCGTAATGGGCTTCAAAGGATTTAAGTAGCTTAAGCTTGTACTCTAATACTAACTGGACCCAACAGTTTCTAGGACCCAAGGCACTATTCTCTCCACTCACAGTGCTTGAATCTGTTTCTATGTGCTGTATTAAATCTGCCCCCTGGTGGCTACTAAGAATCTATTCACTCTGTCAACAGTAGTAATATCTTCTATTCCTTTAAAAAACATGCTGTTTGTGTTTTATTTACCCAAGGAGTACTCACTGGCAGCAGCAACTTTGTGAAGCAAGCTTGGCTAGGCATCAGTTAGTAACCCTTTGATAATACACATCCTGCTTKTATTTGTTTATTTATTTGGGGGGTACCTGGGATTGAACTCAGGGACTGAGCCACGACCCCAGCCCTTTTTTTTTTGTATTTTACTTAGAGACAGGGTCTCATTGAGTTGCTTAGTGCCTCATAGCTGCTGTGGCTGGCTTTGAACTCATGATCCTCCTGTCTCAGCCTCCCAAGCTGCTGGGATTACAAGCGTGCACCACCATACCCGGCACATCCCCCGTTTTAACATCAGTATCTGTGCCAATACTTAACTAGTCATACTACCATATGTTCTTCTGGTGTTATGGTCTTTTAAAATGAACTGACATGGGATAAAAGGCAGTCTTAATAAAACATCTGCATCTTTTAATAATAAAGCCCTTTAATTCCAGGATTTCTGTTTGACATGTTTCAGGATCACCCTTGGAAACCAACTGGATGGGATCCACCTACTAGACCCAGACGTGGTTGCACGGTTCAAGCAAAGGTATCCAGATGGTATCATCTCTAAACCTAAGAATTTATAGAAGCACTTGCTTACAAGGTTAAGCACCCAGAGCCATGACCTTGTAGGCTACACCTGAAGAATTGTATTTGTACAATAGCTTTTCCTCTTATTTAAATAAAGGTTTGTATTATAATTAGGATTTTGAGGTGAAATTCTGGCTTTATTACTTAACAGCGTGTGTTCTTGTACAAGCTCATATCTCAAGTATAATTTCTTCTAAGTGAAATAGGAATGTTATCTATCTCATTAGGTGATTGTAAGGGTTTTAAACTTAAACTGATTGMATGGAAAGCACAGACATGTTGATCATTAAGCAACAAGGTCTGTACAGAATCAAAGTGATTAGCAATTAGTGATTCTTATCCAACCATGGTTAAATAAGGAGGTTCTCTAGGAAAGTATTTTTCAAGTTAAATAAATTTGAGTTTACTTAAGACCATCACCACTAGGGCTGTTATGCTCTAAACTTTTACTTATTGTTAKAATTGTGTAGTTTTGCTCATCTATTATTCTATAGTTTATTTCCAAGAAAAATCAAGTAAGCTCATCTTAGGAAGTGCCAAGAGTATACAGAGAATTGACCTGCATTATGCAAATGAAAACACTGCTGTTCTAACTTTTATCCGATAATAGAACTTTTTAAAAAAGGYTTTGGTGAAGCCTCTTATGATAATTTAAGGGTGGGGTCTCCCTATTCAAGTTTTGATAACAAGTCAGATGAGGAAGGCTGTTGACTGCAGAAAAGTTATTTGTAAAGAAAAATAAACTCTTGGGTGATGCCATTTTCTCTATAGCTCAATGTGCCTACTGTGCTGAAAACCTTTGTCAAAGCAGTGTAATGATATATTAGTAATGCTATCTCTTATTCATCCCCTGCTTTTTGGGGGAATGCTGAGGATTGACCCTCTCTACTACTGAGCTTTTCCCCTAATCCCTCTTAAAATGAATGCACACAGTGGTGTTTTCTCCTAGCATCAAGATGCTGAGCTTTTCCCCTAATCCCTCTTAAAATGAATGCACACAGTGGTGTTTTCTCCTAGCATCAAGATTGAATAATTCTCCCATCATTTTAATTATATTTTAGGCAAGTTCTATGACAATTACATCAGAGTTTCTCTAAGCACCCATACCACCACCCCCTACAACCCCTATGATTTGCTTATCCATACTCCTTTTGCCCTTTGCTTTGCTGTTTTCCTGATATTTCTGCTTATAGTTAAAAGTAAAGAGCAATTCCAGAATACAGCAAACTCCGTGGCCCTGCTCTGTAACTTGGTCTCTGCTAAAGGAAGGAAAAGGGGATAAAGCATGAAGGACCATCAAAGCTTGATCAGGCACTACCAGAAGCCAAGCTTGAGTTTCAAAACAGACTCTTGGAGTTGTTCCCAGTATATAGATCTTCACCGTCTTGGAGTAGAACAAGAAAGACTATTTCACAAACACCACAGTGTTTGAATTTCTAGAGGCTACCCAGGCCAAGAATACATCCCTAAGAGAGAAAAAGATAACACAAACTTAGAATTACAACCTATATAGGTTCATTTTAACATTCTTAAACAAATAGGTCTCCAGGTAATTTATTGCAGTATSAAAGTGAGATTGTACACTTTTTAAATCAGAGGTAGAGGCAATGTTAATCTACTGTAAAGGACTTGAGATAGGATATACAAATGCCTTGTTTTGTTGATATATAGATAATTCTCAAAAAGTTTGGGTAGAGAGCAGAACTGTTTACTCCCTCACACTGAGCACCTTGTTATGCTACTTTCCAATTCCCTAAATGGGGGATTTGCAATAAGGATTGTGAATCTTAATTCACAATCACTTACCAGCTTAATGTGTCGTCTTTCTTTATTTTTTAACCTCCCTACCCCCTGTACTAGGGATTGAATCCAGGGGTGCTTAACCAGTGAGCCGTATCCCCAGCCCTTTTTACTTTTTTTTTTTAAATTTATTTTTTAGTTTTAGGTGGACACAATATCTTTATTAAATCATCTATTTTTAATGAACATACATTCTATAAAGTATGAATTGTTAATTATGTCCTCTGGCTGTGTGGCAAAGGCAACTTTTTTGAGGGTCAGTGCTAGAATTGAACCTAGGGCCTCTTGCTAGTTAAATACAATACAAGTTACATCATCAGTCCTAAGTTTAAACTTTTTAAAGCAAGGGAACTTTTCTAGTAGCCTTTCATCAGATATAGCAGCCTACTGTCCATTAGGTAAGATAATGCTGATAATATGTTCATTATTACCATGTTTTCCACCACAGCAACTGTAAACTCACCTGCAGTGTTTCACCACACACTCATTGCTGCAGTATTCATTGTCCCAATCCTTACTCACAACGGGAGGGTTCTCACAACCAGACCTTACACAGCGAGGCTGGGGTGACAGTGTCACAGGAGACCCACTCACCAATTCAACATCCATCTGAGAAGGAGATTCAACCTATGACAAGAAGAGAGCAACAAGATGAATCACATTCCTACTTGCCTGCCAGCTAGCTAGTCAAATTATCCCTAGGATCCAATGAGTAAAATATATTCTTTTTATAGCGTTAAAGTTCCAGAAAAAGGTGAGTTTGTGGTATTCCCATTTATAGAGCTTTGCAAAGAATGAAATGAAGATTCTCCTYAATAGGGGAAGGCTGGGCATATGCTAATGCTAGTGTTAATGTAACTCATCACTGATTTTTTCTTTTTGGGTACTGGGGATTGAACTTAAGAGGCACTTGACCATATCCCCAGCCCTATTTTGTATTTTATTTAGAGACAGGGTCTCAATTGTTCAGAGGCTTGCTTTTGCTGAGGCTGGCTTTGAACTCATGATCCTCCTGCCTCAGCCTCCTGAGCCAATGGGATTACAGGTGTGCGCCTGTTTGGGTAAGCCTGGCCTCATCACTGAATTTATTCACACTTAGATGATATTCCTCTGAAAGTATCAAAATTAATATGTGAGTACAGGTTCAGTCAATCTCAACTAGTTGGGGAGGACTAAGACAAAATATATTGCTATTAGAAAAAGTGAAATTTGGAAATCCAGAGTTTCCTGTTGATAGAGTATTACTTTTTGAAATGATTATTTAATTGTAGAACCAGAGCAGAGTCTTAGACCTTCACCCAACCCCTCCCCCATCTTTTTTTTTTTTTTTTTTTTTTGGTGCTGGTGCTAGGAAATAAAAACCCAGGGCCTCCCATGTTAGGCAAGGGCTCTACTACTGAACTATATCCCTAGCCCTCTGAGATTTCATGGAACCTAAGCCTTGCTCTTRCAAGGCAAGCACTCTCATTGAGTTATATTTTCAGCCTACCCCCTACATATGAAAGCATCAAGCTAAGTAATTAAGACCTAGTAGAGGGTCTGGGATTGTGGCTCAGCAGTAGAGTGCTCGCCTAGCATGTGTGAGGCACTGGGTTCGATCCTCAGCACCACATAAAAATAAACAAATAAAATAAAGGCATGCTGTCCATCTACAACTACAAAAAAATTTTTTTTAAATATTATTTTTTAGTTGTAGTTGGACACAATCTCTCTTATTTTTATGTGGTGCTGAGGATCGAACCCAGGGCCTCACAAGTACAAGGCAAGCGCTCTACCTCTGAGCCAAGCCCCAGCCCCTAAAAAATAATATTAAAAAAAAATAAGGACCTAGTAAAAGTGTAAGGACTTATAACTACAAAGTTTAGGATCCTTGGGGAGACACCTCTAAATAAGAACTATAGGTTATATAATTATTTCTTCCTCATAGAACCGAAAGACAATTTTTTTTTTTTTTTTGCCCAAAACAAGATTTTGGGTGGAAGAACTCACTGCTACAGAGAACTGTCATCTGTCTGAAGGATGTTTCTTTTTTCTTTTTAATTTTATTTTGTTGATTGTTATTATACATGATAGTAAGTTACACATGACAGTCTGCAAGTCTGCAGAATGTTTCCTACTCCAGGTTGCCAGGCATTAAATGCTAGCAGCAACTCCTACTTTTGAAAATGCTCTTACACATTTCCATTGGTCTAAAGGAAACAATTAAAAACAGGCTTACCTCAGGAACTACGTCTGTAATCATCTCACAGATGGTCTCAGGGGAGGTTGCCTCTACTGTATGGGCCTCAGGACTGCTGTTCATAGGTCGCTCAGGACTGCTTTCCACAACTGGTGGGACTAAGGTAGTCTGCATTTTCAGAGTGGGTGGAGGCACAATCTTGCTTTGCAGAGGAGGTGGCTGTTGTTGTAAATTGATTCGAACTTTCTGAGGTGGAGGCTGTTGCATGGCCTGAAGTGGAGGAGGCTGCTGCAGAATGGTGACTTGCTGCTGAGTTGGGGGCTGAGGCATCTGTTGTAATGGAGGGGGCTGTAGTCGAGGCGGAGGCAGTTGCATAGAAGCAGCAGCTGCTGCTGCTGCCTGCAACACTGACCGAGTAACAATCTGGGCTTGCTGGCTGGGCTGGATGGTAGCTGTACTAGTTTGACCTAATTGAAGCCCCCGGGAGGTCACCACTGTGGCTGGGATAACAGTAACCATCCCTCCTTGAGACATGGTAATAGAAGAGGGCAACATCTGTTTGGTAATAATCAACTTCGTGATATTGGGCTGACCCCCAGCCCCAGAAGATGCCTGGTTTGCCACATAGGATGAAAGAGTGGAGTTAACAACGATGCAAGGCGACAGGGCAGGGGACTCTGTTGAGGCTGGTGCTGGAGATGCTGGGTCAACAGTGGCCACAGGTGGCGGTGAAGGAGTCTGTGATGGTGGCACTGGATCCAATTCCACTGTTTCTACAGTGGCCTAAAAGAAGACCAAAGCAGAAAAAGGAGGGGAAAGTAATTGAGAGATTTGCTCTTCGCTGCAGGACATCCATTCTAATTACTTTTCAAGAAAAGATATAGTTTTTAAAGGAGCAGCTCTGAGTYCTCCCTTTGCTAACTTAAGTGCTAGGAATAAACTCAAAGACTGTCAAGGTTTCTAGATGTGAAATAATGGGAAAGCTATTAAATATTTTTAAAGCTTTTAATACTACTTAGTGTTGGTATTTACTTATAACCACTAACAGCTAGAAACAAATGAATAAAAACTTATTGGTTTAAATGTTCATTTATTTTAACTCTCTTACCTGACACTCTTGGTTGTCTTTATATGCAGCCAGAGCCTTTAGATACTCTTTTTTGGCAGCTTCAGTTTTCCTCTTATACACCTGCAAGAGAGAAACTGTTTATAAAATTCCCACACTTGGGCTGGGGTTGTGGCTCAGTGGTAGAGCGCTCACCTCTCACGTGTGAGGCCCTGGGTTCAATCCTCAGCACCACATAAAAATAAACAAACAAAATAAAGATATTGTGCCCATGTATAACTAAAAAAAAATATTAAAAAAAAAATTCCCACACTCTTGGGCTGGAGATGTGGCTCAAGCGGTAGCGTGCTCGCCTGGCATGCGTGCAGCCCGGGTTCGATCTTCAGCACCATATACAAAGATATTGTGTCTGCCGAAAACTAAAAAGTAAATATTAAAATTCTCTCTCTCTCTCTCTCTCAAAAAAATTCCCACTCTCTTAAAAATGACTGATAATTCTGTAGTATTCATCAGTGAATATAGTGAATGACAATGCATCTCGCTCTGATCACAACTCTGAGAGCCCAAAAGACAGCCCCCAAGACAGACTAACTCCACTGAGCATGCCTCTGAAAGTCAAGCATCAACAAGAGTCTTGCCAGAATAACCTCGAAAGTGAAAATCAATGCATTCTCACTTCTGTAACAGCAACAAAAAAAACTCACTCTGGCCCCCAAACTAAGATCAGTAGTATTCTGCTTAGACTGAGTCTGTCTATAACCTTTAAGAATGTGGTAAATTGCTTGGCAAGATAGTCACAGAATTCCTCCCAATCTGCACTGCCTTTGTCTTATCAAAAGCTAAGGCAAAGGGGCTAAGGCTGTTGCTCAGTGGTAAAGTTCTTGCCTCGTATGTGTGAGGCATTGGGTTCAATCCTCAGCACCACATAAAAATAAAAAAGGTACTGTGTTGTTCACCTATAATTAAATAAACATTAAAAAAAAAAAAAAAGCTAAGGCATAGCCAGGCATGGTGGTGCATGATTGTAATGCCAGTGACTCTGGAGACTGAGGCAGGAGGATCGAAAGTACAAAGTTAGCCTCAGCAACTTAGTGAGGTCCTAAGGAACTTAGCGAGACAAAACAAAAAATGCTGGCTCAGTGGTTGAGAGTCACTGGGTTCAATCCTGGGTACTAAAAAACAAAAAACTAAAGCATATTTCTCCTTTTTTAAAATCTGGACCAGCTCTTGTGACTTGTTTGATCATCACAATGTAACTGAAGTGACACTGAGATTTAAGAGACTTGTGAGGCACCTATTTTCCCATTCTTGGAATGTTACTCTTTGGTCTGCCATACTGTAAACAAACTAGTCTAACCTACTTGAAGAAGAACCAACATCTTAGCCAATAGGTAGTACCAACTGCCAGTTATGGACAAAATAGTCCTGGGCATCCATACTAGCTTTCCCCCTCCATGCCTGGTACTGCAATTTGAACTCGGAGCCTCATGTAGGCTAAGCTACATCCCCAGCCCTCAGCTACCATTTGATTACAATCAGTGATTAGCCAGGTACAATGGCACATGCCTGTAATCCCATGGAGACTGAGGGTGGAGGACAAGTTGGGCAACTCAGCAAGACACTGTCTCAAAATAAAAAGCCTGTGAATATAGCAACAGAAAAACCAATCAATCCCCACAACCATATGAAATAATAAATGGCTGCTGTCTTAAGCCATTAAATTTGTGGTCATTCGTTTAGCAGCAGCAGATAACTGATAGAAATTATCTGCAATAAATTCAGCTTTTTGTTTCAAATATTAATAAGACTTGCTTTGCTATAAGACATGAGTCTAGGGGCAGTCACTTTCAATTGTTTTATCTTATATAGTATCAATTTTCTTTTTGAAGAGACAGGGTCTTACAAAAAAAAAAATCCTGAGTTAAGGGTGTACACCATTCATTTTATTTTTAGGGAGATTAATGAGATTCTAAATACAAACTTTTACAGTTAAGATCAAAATGCAACTTTTTAAAAAATAGCCTAATATCAAAAATTGGAAAAAATAAATAAAAGCTTAGAAACATTAAATATCTAAATATCACAGAGTTAATAGATACGAGGAATTATGAGAGAAATTATTAATGGAAAGCACATATGATTTTRAGTTAAAACAATCTAGATTTGTGTCTCAGTAGTACCATTTAAAAGTTTTATGAGTCTCCACTCTCAGTAAAGAYGGGTAGGGGGAATGGGTGTGATGGTGCATGCCTATAAACCCAGCAACTCAGGAAGGAGAAGCAGAGGCAGGAGGATCACATGTTAAAGACCGCCTCATGCCAAGTGCGATTGTTGCACACCTGTAATTCCAGGGACTCGGAAAGCTGAGGCAGGAGGATCCCGAGTTCAAAGCCAGCCCCAGTGACAGCCAGGCACTATGCAACTAAGTGAGACCCTGTCTCTAA